GCCTTAGGGTAAAAAGGGATTCCTATCAAAGCCGAAGATTTCGGGGTCTGCGTTCCATATCTGGGGCGCGCAAAAACGCTTATTCAGCTTGGAATTGTAGTTCTGGCTCGAATGTGTGTTGGGCTACGTTGGGTTTTAAGATGTTGGGTGTTAGCTTCTGGGTTCGTGTCTCCGCAAGTGTGTGAGTGTGTGCTTCCCTCTCCTGTCCCCCCTCGCTTGTTGGCTGCGCGGTTTTCTGTTGATCGCAAAATAGAAAATTCAAACCGCTCCATTAGTTGAGCATCTGGGCGCGTACCTATGGGGAATCCGACGAGAAATGCCGGCTGTGTAATGACGGAGAACGCTGACTTTCGCGATCCTTGGCCGTCACCAGCAACAGCGCCAGCACCACCCACCACCACCACCGTCGTCTCGTCGTCATCACCGGTAGTTGATCGTCCAACTACAAACTTCGGAAAACTGTTCTTTTCATGGAATCAACAAGGGTCTCACAGCGTTGCTTTCTCTTCGCATCAGTCTTTTACGTTGGCTGTGTGGTTGTGCTGCTGTTTGTGGTCAGCTGGCCCTTGGCCGCTCTGTGGTTAGTCGTGGGGATTTCCCGAATGCGTAGCGAAGGGCTCCCGTTTTTGTAAGTGGGGGTCTGGGGGTGGGAGGCCGTGCGCGCGAGGAGTTGTTCCACAGCCCGCAACCGCCCGCAACCGTCTGCAACCGTCCGCAACCGTCCGCGGTGAGGCGATAAGCATGTGCCATTGGGATTCGTCGTGGCAGCGTGTTTTTGATGGATCGGCAAGCGCTGTTTTCATTGGCCCGGTGTGGGAGTTGTAGCTTCGCAAGCTCGATGTGTGGTGTTGTTGCGAAGGCGCAATGGTGTAAGCGCGAGCGAGTGTCAATGTGAAAGTGAGCGCAAGTCTGAGATTGGGTGCGATGAGTCTGAGCGATAGCAAGAGTGAGAGCGAGTGCAAGCATGAGTGAGAGTCAGAGTGAGAATGGGTGTGAGTGTGCCAGTGAGTAAGCGAGTAAGTGAGTCAGTGTGTGAAAAAAAGAGAGTGAGTGAGTGAGTGCGTGACTAAGTCAGTGAAGTGCGTGAGTGCGCGAGCGCGAGTGCGCGAGTGCCGGAGGGCGTCGGCGCGTCAGCGCGTGAGCGTGAGGGCTGTGCACGAGTGCATGTCAATGAGTGAGTGAGTGAGTGAGTGAGTGAGTGAGTGAGTGAGTGAGTGAGTGAGTGAGTGACTGAGTGAGTGAGTGAGTGAGTGAGTGAGTTAGTGAGTGAGTGAGTGAGTGAGCGAGCGAGCGAGGGAGTGAGCGAGTGAGTGAGTGAGTGAGTGAGTCAGTGAGTGCGTGGAGTGGAGTGGAGTGGAGTGGAGTGGAGTGGAGTGGAGTGGAGTGGAGTGGAGTGGAGTGGAGTGGAGTGGAGTGGAGTGGAGTGGAGTGGAGTGGAGTGGAGTGGAGTGGAGTGGAGTGGAGTGGAGTGGAGTGGAGTGGAGTGGAGTGGAGTGTGGAGTGGGTGGAGTGGCGTGGAGTGGAGTGGAGTGGAGTGGAGTGGAGTGGAGTGGAGTGGAGTGGTGAGTGGAGTGGCGAGGAGTGAGTGAGTGAGTGTGGGTAGGGAGTGAGAGTGCGTGAGTGGAGTGAGTGGAGTATGAGTGATGGCGTGAGTGGAGTGAGTGGAGTGATGGAGTGAGTGAGTGGAGTGAGTGAGTGAGTGGACGTGAGCGCGTGAGATGGGTGGGTGAGTGGTGGAGTGGAGTGGGTGGGTGGAGGAGGTGAGTGAGTGAGTGAGTGGAGAGAGGGAGAGACGTGGGTGAAGAGAGTGAGTAGGCGTGAGTGTGTGAGGTGTGTGTGTGACAGAGAGTGAGTGAATTTTGAGGGTGAGTGCGTGTGCGTGGTAGTTCGAGCGAGCGGCCGAGTGCCGCGAGAACCGCCTGCGGCGAGGAGCGTGGAGTGGTGTGTGCGAACACGTACGTACGTACGTACGTGCGCGACGTCGCGTGTACACCGAACGTACGGTTGACGGTGAACGGTACTAAGTGCTGCGTGCGAGCGTGCGTGGTGCTGCGCTGCGTGGCGTGCGTGCGTGCGTGCGTGCGTGCGTGCGTGCGTGCGTGCGTGCGTGCGTGCGTGCGTGCGTGCGTGCGTGCGTGCGTGCGTGCGTGCGTCGTGCGTGCTGCGTGCGTGCGTGCGTGCGTGCGTGCGTGCGTGCGTGCGTGCGTGCGTGCGTGCGTGCGCGCGCGCCAGTGCGTGAGCGTGCGTGCGTGCGTGCGTGGCGTGCGTGCGTGCGTGCGTGCGTGCGTGCGGTGCGTGCGCGCGTGCGGGTGGCGGCGGGCGTGCGGGGCGTGCCGGGCGGGCGGGCGGCGCGGGCGGCCGGGGGCGTGCGGGCGACGCGCGCGCGTTGCGGCGCGCGCGCGCGCGCGCGCGGCGTGGCGGGCCAGCGCGCCGCGCGGGGGAGGTGCGTGCGTGCGCGCGTGCGTGCGTGCGTGCGTGCGATCGAGCGAACGAGCGAGCGAGCGAGCGAGTGAGTGAGTCAGTGAGCGAGACTGGGTCATCGTACTTCAAACTTCCAGCCAAAAGGTGAAGGTGAGATTGCATTCGGGTTCGTGGCTTCTTGCAGGTTCCTGTTTTTTGAGTCGTGGGCACGAAGCACTAGTCGGTGGTACACCCCCTTCTCGTCATGGAGAAGCAGGTTTCAGCATGCTCCAGTCGCCTAGCTCATGGGCTTTCGCACTTCACTGGGGCCGGCCTCGCCGCCGAAGCTGTTGCTGCTAACTCGAAAAATGCGGCCAATACGGTCTCACAACACATTCATTCCCAGGGCTCCTGTGGATCATCCTCTTGCTGCTTTGTGGAAGCTGGGCGGGAGAGGCTAGTGCTGATGATGCTAACGCTGCGAGTGAGGCTAAGCTCAGGATGACCAAATTGCATGAAAGATGTCGTTTGCATTATCTTTGTGTTGCAGCACACCGCATCCGCAGACAGCTGTGTGGCGATGGGCTCCGAGCTTCTTGGTGATGCAAGGTTTTTGGCACTGACGCGGTGATGACGCGGGAATGCGAGAGCGGCTGGGATGTCGATCTTGCCACCGGTTCTGTATGGCGCTTGATGCCGGAATCCCTGTATGACATACAGTCCACCGGGAGAAAAACGTGGAAATAGCGGCTGCTCTCGCGTGCGCGTCCAAGGATACATGGCGGACAGCGCGCGCGCCTAAAAGCTGACAATGCAAGGTATCGGCGCACGCAAGCGTGCACCCGTACCAGACCTGCAGTTGTAGACAGCTCACAGCAAACACCCCAAAAAAGAAAAACAACAAGCACTGGAAAAGCTCTTTAATAGGAAGCTGCACGATGACTCAAAAAGCTAGGAACAAATAGTTGATGCCATTTGTTTCCCCCACTAAAGCGAAATAGCGCTTGAATGCAAATGTGAGCTGCGGGCAATACTTGCCGTGGCCCATCTGACATAGGAATTCCCACAAGTGGCACAAGCATCACATCATCCCCTAAAGGTGATGTGGGCGAACCAATGGCATGTTTATGATAGTAGATGACAAACTATAAATCCATCGCTCAAGTAGGTGAGGTCTTGCTCTCGCACGCCTGGAGTTTCTGGCGCCGTGCAGAAATTCTCTGTGCATCCCTTGAGGCCATACTCGTGGTTCGTGTCACTGCACTTGGTGACCTCAACTTCCGCAAAACGGACTGAGTCCAGGGAAAAGAACGAACGTGTCCGGCCTGGGCAACGCCATGATAGGCAGTGGAACAGGCAACTTTCACACCAAATGACTGCATCACGAGGCTGTTTTCCGTCACATCGTAGCCTGTGAAGCCAAGAAACGCTTGGAACGCGAGAAAAAGTGCGCTGACACTGCAAGCTCATTTTCCGAATTCTCCAAATCTGAGAAATTAAGACCACAGTGGCCAGACAAGAACCTCATGCAAGATGGTAAGTGTCTCCCTTGGTCCAAATACAGAGACTCATGATCTGATTCTGTGCCTGCATCTGCCGGCTTCTTGCAATAGATCTTCTTGGTGCATCCCTTGAGACCATAGTATACGTTGGTGTCGGAGCACGATGCAACTGCAGCATTGCCAATATACCTTGGCAGGTCCATCTCAAAAATCATGAAACAAAGACTATGTATGCATATATATATAATATAAATATATAACATCAAACGCCACTCACTGGATCCTACAATCCTGGCCCAGCAGCTCAGCCGAACACTCTGCAGTCACGCTGAAGTGCTCCTGCATGAGGTTGTTCTCACTGACGATGTAACCTTTCATGGCGACGTCCAGGCTGCTAGGAGGAGTATAAGTTCCCTAAATTTGTTGGGTAATGTAACTCCAAATGGAGGTCTTCTGTGTTGTTCCATACTCTCAACGGATTCTAGCTTCGGGAAATACCCCCAAAACTCAGTGGCAAGGGTGCAAAGCAAAGCCTGCTGCCAATGCATGCTGCCGACAACAAATTCAGCCTGCCTGTGGTGTCTGTCGGCGCAGAGCAAACCAACTTTGGAATGGTGACAGTAGTTGTTGTAGATGTGCTGGTGGTGGTTGTGGTTGTGGTGGTGGTACTCGTGCTGGTGGTTGTCGTCGTGGTACTTGTTGAGGTAGTGGTAGTGCTTGTAATGGTGGTTGTGCTCGTGGTCGTGACCGTTGTTGAGGTTGTTGTGGAGGTGGTTGTGGTCGTTGTTGTCGTAGTTGTGCTAGTGGTGGTCGTAGAGGTACTGGTCGATGTTGTTGTTGTGGTACTCGTAGCTGTTGTTGTCGAGGTGGTCGTGATGGTTGTGGTAGTGATGGTGGTGGTTGAGGTTGTAGTAGTTGTGGTGGTTGTGCTGGTAGTGGTGCTTGTGGTGGTGGTTGTTGTACTTGTAGTCGTGCTCGTCGAAGTGGTTGTAGTTGTAGTTGTGGTGGTCGTTGATGTAGTAGTGGTAGTGGTTTCGACGCATCCAGTCTTAGCTGCTTGCATCTGCAAACATGCGCAGCTTGCATGGAAATGCAAAGTCAAAAATCCGACATGACCAACACATAGGACTTGTGACGAGCGTCCAGCGTATATGGCTTGTTGGCGCCGTCGCAAACTTGTGCCACAGGAGTGCCCTCGTAGCCCCAGGCGCACTCGGCATCCACTGCAAAGTTGTACCTGGGTCTGGAACTTCATTCCTTGAGGATATGACCCAAACAGCGACCATCTGCCTCCTTTCTTGGAGCTCATGGCCTGATTGCCTCATTTGACAATGCATCCCAGGTTGCAGTGCCAGCGAAGTTTCAGAGAACTTTGTGTACGGAATCTCACCTCCCGGGCGAACACCTCGGCATGTGAAAGTCCGTTACACACGGCAAGCAACTCCTCCCCTCACCACGAACCAACCTCAAGACTGGTGAGCGCCGCACACAAGTCAGGCGCACATCCAGACATTTCGTAAGGAAGGCCGTCCTCCTCGCAGGGCTTCACCTGCAGCGTGGCTGCGTTGCAGTGTCGGAGCGTTGGCCGTGCGCAGAACGTCACGATCAAACTTCCGTTCAGCTCGCCGTGCCTTCGCAGTGCCGTGGAAGTGGTCTCCGCCTACCAGCGCACGGTACCGTGCTGAGGGAATGCCCCACTCATCAGGCAGCACAATAATGAAGCGCAGAAGGCCCGCGCGCTACGCTCTCAAAGGACTAGCATCATGCGAAAGGGCTGGATGCGGGCTTGGGCTATGGGACTAAAGACTTAAAGACTCCAGACTCTGCAACCCTGGCTACGTGACTGCTCGCCGCGTCATGCAATGCGAGACTGCGGAGCATGGTCATACCATATTCTGGATTTCAAATATTCAACTGTAGACTCATGCGTCCGAGAAGCAGGTGGCAGTGACAGCCCAAGTGTGAAGGTCCTTGGTCAGGCAACATGGGCGGCACGCCGCGCTTCACTGCGACTCAGGATGTGCCAAGCGTCCAAGGAGGACTCCTTGACGTGGTAGCCCACAGCCGCTGGAGTCTTGCACGTCACAACCTGTGCCTGAGGCGAGACGACCCACAAGGCCCATGGCCTTTGCTCGCCAAAATTGCCTGTTGTTTTTCTTTTTTTTCTGCACACAATGTGACATTGACATACTCATGCAGACGGAACCGCTGTGCGTTGGGAATGCCAACATCATGCAAATGTGAATGGCCTGAACGCCTGTAGGACTCTAAGTGCAGTACGCATCCCGAGAGCGAGTACACCATGTCGGGTGCTTCGCATACGAAGACATGCGCATGTCCATAGTAGCCCTTGGCACAGGCCACTTTGACACTGAATTTGCTCCAGTCTGTGTCGTCTTCGGAGATAGCATAGCCTGCCGTTGATGATGGAGCTGCGCACTTACCCTTGAGGGTCGTGGTTGTGGTGCTGGTGGTGGTGGTAGTTGTTGTAGTTGTTTGTTGGCACCCTTCCTGAGCTACGCCAACTGCTCAGCCCACACCCACAGCTGAACTACAAGGCCACATGATTCTCTCCAACCAATTACGAGTCTGTCAGCATGGGTACACAAGGCGGTTTAAAATGCCAATATATGTTGCAATCAAGCTTGGGAAGTAAATGCTGCAGCAATTTGAGCAACTTGAATAGCCCATGTGTCAGTGTATGCAATGATTGCCGACACTGGGCCGGCAACAGGCCCGAACTCCAAGGCATCCTATCAATCGACGGAAACTGGCAAGGTCAATACGCCCAAAACCCAGCCAACAAAGCGGTTTTGCCACACCAGCTTCCCTGTAAATGTCATCATTCCATCAGACGTCAGCAATCCCTACGTTGCCCTGCCCCTAACTCAGGACAGGCATCAAGCGCAAACTCCTGACCATGACCAGCACACTTCACGACCTTGGGAGCACCTTCATAGCCAAATGCGCATTCTGCCTTCACATTGAACCTGAGCGCCGAGAAATGCTGAGAAGAAGAAGCTCAGTTTCAGCCAAGAACAGCCCAAGGTTCATCCACGCTCAGTCAAGCAACTGATGTATCTCCAAAGCTGTGGTTGTGACCTTGTAGCCAGCCGTATCCATGGGCTCCAAGCACAAGTCGGCTGCACAGCCAGATATGCCTCAAGGCACTGTCACAGTTGCAAGAATGAGCGTGCGTCTCATGTCCATAGGGCCCGCGAATCTGACTTGAAGCGAAATTATTCAAATCCGCCAATTCTTGCTGACTATTTGCCTGCATTGCAACGCCGCAATCACAGGAAACTCATGTCTAGTTGCAGTGGAGAGACACTCAAACTCACAGCCTAAACAGCCCTTCCACAGCTTCAAATGGGAGACATTGAGCATACGAGAATGTGTGACGCGGGCCATTCTCTGCGCTTCCAAGGCGCGATAGTGATCACCGTTGACGTCACATTCTTCCACTTTGGCTGAGCCGTGAAAGTGTGCTGCACACTGCGCGCGGACATCCCACTTGTGCAGCTCCTGAGATTAGAACTGCCCAAAACGCTAGATCGTCTGCTCTTGACCGGTACTATTAGCCCATCAGTTTCGGAAGCTGTAATGCAGTGCAAAAGCAA